ATATATATATATATATATATATATATATATATATATATATATATATACAAGTCGATTATTATGAGGACAAAATTTGATATAAAGTGATTACTTTGGGGACAAACGATTACTTTGAGACCCGTCCTCATTATTTTATACACAAATAGATTACTTTGAGGACTGTTCCCAAAGTAATCGTATATGAGAAAAGATTACTTTGGGGACTGTCCCCAAAGTAATCGTATATAAGAAAAGATTACTTTGGGGACTGTCCCCAATCATGTATAAGAAAGGATTTTGGAAACCTATCAATTAACAGGTTACCAAAGAAATCCTGTCTTATTTAGTTATATATATACTATTATTTTAGGGACAGTGACTTTGTTAAGTATGATAACAAAACTACATATAATAATTTCCAATTTCACAAAACATTTGTTAAGGGGTTGGGAAACAGAAAAAACATATAATACGTGTTTGTGTATTTTACTATTTACTCAGGCATTTAACGGTTGAAAAAATATTCAATGATAAAAAAGTGTCTTATATACATAATAGCTTGGAAAAATCCTTTCTTTTGTAATTTTAAATCTTCTCGACACTTTTGCTTTTTTAACTTATATTAGTTCAGCTACAAAGAGAAAACCTCAAGAAACACGATAGTGTGCGCGCTAAATGCAAACATCAGCGCATGAGTATGAAATCACGTCGTGTATCTTTACGCGTGCCGTCGAATTGAGCAGATACACATTTATCAGATCAAAATAATAACTGAATCGATCGATTTCTTAGTAGACTGAATCAATTGCTTGAGATCATATTGTTGTGCAAGAAAAGTGTCTATTCTTGATGATTTAATGAGCACTTGATAGTTTATATTTTGAAATACTATTGAAATTATCTGATTTTATTAATGCTAGTTATACATTTCTGTTATTTGAGACGATAAAGAGAGAAGAAACCGAAAGCTAAGGTCGTGACGTTCCACCAGATTCTCGTGCACTTTTTCGTCTTAATATACGGAAATATGTAATTGGTATGAACAAAATCGGGTTGTTCAATTACAACAGAATACGAACTAAAAATGTTTTTGAATTATATTTCTGTTATTTATGGTTGCAAAGATATGAGCGTTTTATGACATTAAAACGTTGCCTGGCGCCCGTTTCCTTATGCTTCCATGCGCTATATTGTTATAATATACTGACATACGTAATTGGCATTAATAAAATCGAGCAATTTTAATACAACAGATTGCAATGTAAACAGTCTGTTTTAAATTATCTATATATCTTCAACGGTTGTCGAAATATTTGCAATAAACACTAAAAAAGATATTTTAGCTCCAAGAAACATAGTTTGACTTTGCGGCAGGTTATTTTTATCACCGGTTGTACACTCAGATTATTACGCCAAGTGCGGGAATGACGACGTACACGGCACCTTGCAAATATTTTAGTATTTTTACTGTCAGCTGATTTTTGATGATGTCGTTTCATAACCACCTCGCTAGACAGGATTCATTGTTGATGAGATTGCGAAAACATAACTGTAATACGACTTTACGTGAACTATTTCGACATACATATTAATCATTTATGCCTTCCAATATTCAAAATAGCTGCTATATTTTCCACAATTTTTTTGTTAATAACTTTTTAACAAATAACGAGTGCGGGCTAAAACCTTCTAAAGGTCACTCAGGAGGGTGACCTTGACAACATACTAAAATATCAAAGTCATCCAAGGTGGTCCCCTCGATGTACACAATTACCAACATTACATATATACACGCATATATTTCTAATAAAATTATTAGCTATCAAAATGACATAATACGTTTACGCGAGCGTTACTTCTGTGACTTACGATAATTCACTCATTTACGCGGAGTAAATTAACGTAAGCTACTACAAAATCTTGTTTACACGAAAGAATTATCGCAAGCTACAGAAATAATGCTTGCGTAAACGTAGTAATAGCTGCATATGTATAGCATAAGACTGTTTAAACTAATGAACGTTCAATATGAACCACTTAAGCCGTTATTCATAGTCGTATCTTATTTCAAGATTGTTTTAAGTAATGTCTTACTAATACTAACATTTTATTGGTTGGACGATGTCTCAAATCTACATCTGACCATACTTAAAACGATCTTAAATATGAATACTTATGCTAGGTCTACAATGCGAGTCGCAAAGTTATGAGTCGCAAGAATTGACCAATTACAATCGAATTTGAGGAGAATAATCGACTGTGATTGGTCAATTCTTGCGACTCACGACTTTGCGACTCCCATTGTAGACCCAGCATTACTATGAATACCGACCTTAATTTACAATGCATGCTCATTGGTCTGAACATTCTCATGCTATGCATATGCATCTATGTCATTTTGTATTTGATGACTGTGAAGCGCGGCAACGTATACGTGGAAATCAAAGATTAGGTGGACGTTATTAGTATGTAAACGTAACGTTTCGTTGTTTGACGGAATCAATATTGAATATTAAATCAAGTTTTTCTGCGTTTTTTGTATTTAGATAAGCTGAGGTAAGAAAGTTTAATTTAGGTTAGGCAATGATAGTCTTCAATTTGCATACAAAGTTTGTTGTATTTACTTAAGCAAATTCACTGTTTTTTTAAATAGAAAACATGGCAAAAATACATTATTTCTTAATAAAAAGAAATCGAAAGCACTATGTGTGGACAAACAGAAAAGAGAAACATGACGTTATAATAGCTAAGCATGGTACGTATATTCTAACTTAAACACAATTGTCACAGCTGCGCTTGTCACAGCTTCATTTGATGCTACAAACACTTTGAAGCATCCTTCTTCTGCTTCTTTCTTTATTGAGAGAAAGGAGAAAAGAAGTGCTTCGAAGCATTTGTAGTGTTGAGTGGAATGTATCTTTTATTGTAACCAGTAATATTTTATAAGTGAAAAAATGTAATTTAACTTTTTAAACATATAAATGTTATCAATATTTTTATTCTTTTTCAGGAAACTATGGTGTACTTAAAAATATTGCGAATAATTTAAATATGAATATTCCTTACATTTATTTGACGAAAGTTATCAGAAAAACAAGTAAGAAAATGAATAATACAGAGTAATAAATCTATTATAGTACTATATAATGTCCATTTCTATCAACGCAGGTTAATTTTAATCTTGGTTTAACTTACCTGTAATCTTTTCCTAGTTCTAAAAGTTAGAAAAAGATAGAAAGTAAGTTAAACCAAGATTAAAGTTAATCTACATTGGTAGAAATGGGCATAAAACAAATAAGTCTTAACTTTAATGTATATTTTTAAATGTGTCTAATATTTGTAAAACTACTAACTATGTAATATTTTCTCAAAATTAGATTAAGTAACGCACCAACGTCAGATTCCAACCATAATAGAAAATAAAATATTACCGAACTTTTATATAAAAGGTATCTACATATTAATTTTTAATTCTATGAATTTTACATACTTATTATAATACTGTTTTGTATTTTTTTTTACATACTATTTTATTAATTTAGAGATAGTTATTGGGTTATCATTAATAATTGTTTAATTTAATAAGTTAAAAATAATTAGAGAAATAAACTATATTGTCTATTGATTAAATGTTATTATAATGTAAAACTTAATAATTTATTATTTTTTTACTTTACTTTTTTCTAATTTGTTTTAGAAAAAATGAGTTAATCACTAGATATAATTCCAAATGTTTAAATTTGATATTGGATTTTCATTTTATCTATTGTTTATTAAACATTAAAATTCTTTGCTGATTGCTGATTTGATTATTAGGGTATACTATTGAAATTTTTAAAATTATTAATTACAGTTGTAAAAAAAGAACTTTATTTAAACGAAAAACAAAAAAAGGAAAATCAAATTCAAGAACTCAATAACAAAAAGGACATAAGTAAGATGAACATAAGAGTGAAAAACGTAGAAGAAAATGAAATTAATTTAGGCGTTATTCTACACAATGATGATACTGGAATAACAAATAATTACAAAAATAAAAAACAAACAAATGAAATTAAGTTATATAACAATCTACAAGATAACTCAGGTATGATGTTCAATTATTGTATTCAAAATATTTTTAAAACATTTTTGACTTCTAAGTTTTTACATTTATCGATTGCATAAATAGAGAAAAGTATGTTTCGCAAAGCAATTGTAGAGATTATAAGATACAACAAAAATAGAAATAAAGATAGAAAATGAAAATGAAGTAAATTTAAAGATTGTTCTATAAAATTATGAAAGTAGAAGTACTAATAATTATAAGTTTTGAAAAGATAATAAATTAATATTATATAATTAACAGAAATTGGAAGGTACACAGTAAATTTCTAAGTCATAAAAATCCTAGAGCTGAAAGATAAAATATCTATATAATGTTTATATAAAGATATTATTTATTAACAGAAATGAATGAAACTGAAGATAGAAAAATTCTCGACGGACATAACAAAAGGCGTGTTTTACAAAATTATAAAGAGAGTGGAAAGAGCAATAAACAGTTTAATAATATACAAGGTAATTTGAAGTCAAAATAAGATAGAAATAAAAATCTGATAGAAGTTTTGGTATTTTTAATTAAAATGTCATGTAACATATACATATTCATTTACCTATCAGTTTTTCCTTTAGTTTCTTATTTTAAAATAATTGATATTTTATTTTAACATCTGCCGCTTTTATAGATCGTTCTCAATTTCTGCTTGATGCGTTTAATCGCGCATTTTATAAAAACTTGTCATATAATGAAAATTCAAGCAAGCAACTAATATGTAATGACAGAAAAAACAAATCTGAAACAATTACAGAGCCGGAAGTATGCAGGTAAATAAAGTTTTTCTAATGTTGCACAATAATAAAATGAAAAATTTTAATTTACTAAAATACGAATAATTTGCTAGTTATTTCAGATGTATGCGGCAATTTATGGCAACAAGACACTTTTGAAGACAAGTATGTAAAATATATGTACGACATAGCGCATCACAAATATTTCATAAAGAAATGAAATATATAGTTAAGACTCTTTAATTTAAATAATTTTATCTAAAATAGTTATAATTACAATTTTGTAAATATTTGATTTTTAAATTCAAATTTATTTTATTATATTAAAAAAAAAGTACTTTAATTAAAAAAGTTAAATAAAGAATTAATTTTTCATTAAAAATTTTTTTAAATTTGTTTCTTTCTACAAACAGCATTATTTTTTCTATTAGAAGAAAACATTTCTCTTTACTATTTCTAGAAATATTTATATCAATTAATGTTTCATAAAACTAAAACATCAAAAACTAATAATTAATCTAGTTTTATTTTAACGCTATGCTTTATATTCTTTTTGCCATGTCTTACATATTATTTTATGGTTACGCTTTATTTTCTATTTTTTCTGTGTATTATACATACTATTTGTTTTATAAATTGTTATATTGTTGAAAGTATTACACACATTTTTCTTGGATTTTTCTAGATTGAAGCAGTATTCAGACAAAACATGTTCCTGAACAAGGAATTAGAGATATTTTAGTTTTTTATTTCAATGTTTATTTTTGTGACTAATTTGCATTGAAATATATCAT